AGATCTGACACTGTTAATGTGACCTACTGGTCGGTCACTTCTTGGAGCCTGGAGGTCTAGTTGTGTTTCACCTTCTTCTCTTCTGTCCCCAGGTATGAGCACAATAAAACTGGAAGCATCTTGATCAACAGCCTCTGTTTATCCAACGGAGGTAAGGTTTGCCCAGCGTGGTGGGCTGGGAGGGATGGGGATCCACGAGACAGGATGGCCATCCCATCTCCATCACCGGAGGGAAAGCACCATCCAAACCCCAAGCAAATTGCAATTAAGGTGCTGTAATTACCCAGGAGCATCAGTCCTCGGGTTGCCTGTGCCACCTTTCGTGGCACCATGAAGAAGGAGAGAGACTAGAAGATGCGGAGCAAAACGCTTGTAGTGTTACAACTCTGTTCTTTGATGTCCTTCCAGGGATTTTCCCCGAAACGCACTACCCCCGGTTCATCCAGAAGGTGAGCTGCTACCCTCTCTGGTGGCACTGAATCGCCCCTCGAGCAAAGTCTGACTCGTGAGTTTGGGGTTTTACCTGGCCCAGCCGCCTGCTGCTTTTCCCACTTCGGTAATGGCACCTGCGCGGATCACAGGCGTCGTTAGAGGCGGTGGGGAGAAGCAGGGGCTGTCAGGATGCGGCTCGTCTCATCCGAACATCCCGGCTAATCATAGAATCATGGAACTGTTTGGGTTGGAAGAGACCTCAAAGATCATCCAGTTCCAACCCCCCTGCCATGGGCAGGGACACCCTCCACTACACCAGGTTGCCCAAAGCCCCATCCAACCTGGCCTTGAACACTGCCAGGGATGGGGCAGCCACAACTTCTCTGGGCAACCTGGTCCAGTGCCTCAGCACCCTCAGAGTGAAAAATTTCTTCCTTATCTCTAATGGAAATCTCCCCTCTTTCAGTTTAAAGCCATTGCCCCTTGTCCTATCACTACACACCCTTGTAAAAAGCCCCTCTCCAGCTTTCCTGTAGGCCCCCTTTAAGTACTGGAAGGCTGCTCTGAGGTCTCCCCGGAGCCTTCTCTTCTCCAGGCTGAACAGCCCCAACTCTCTCAGCCTGTCTCCAGAGCAGAGGTGCTCCAGCCCTTGGATCATCTTCGTGGCCTCCTCTGGACCCGCTCCAGCAGCTCCATGTCCTTCTTGTGTTGGGGACCCCAGAGCTGAACGCAGTATTCCAGGGGGGGTCTCAGGAGAGCAGAGCAGAGGGGCAGAATCCCCTCCCTCGCCCCGCTGCCCACGCTGCTCTGGGTGCAGCCCAGGACACTTTCACCCCTTGAAGGACGGATGTCTCACTGTCGAGAGCTCACGTACATCTCGGCGTTACCGAGGGTGGGGGCTGAGCTGGGAAATCGCTGCAATACAGGGAGCCAGAGAAAACAGCCCTGTGGAGAGGCAGGATTTACTCGTCTGTACAATACCAAGTGGTGCTGTCTCCTTTTTTCTTTCTGCCCAAGATCCTCTCGGATGGGGGTTTGCTGTCCCCCGTCATCACACGGCTGATGAACTTCTTTTTCTTCTCCAGAGGGTGAGTCGGGTCTCTGTGCCGGGAGCACGGTCCACACGGGGGGCATGAGCCAAGCAGGGAGGGGACCAAGGTAGGAATTAACGTAGCAGGTATTTGGCCGGAGAGCGGATCCCCCAGCACCGTCCCAGGAGAAATTTGCCTCTGGATTTGGATGGCCTTGGTCCTCCGGGCCATTCCCTTGTCCCAGTTCACAAAATGCTTCAGCACAATAACAAACCACGCAGCTTTTCCCTGGACACTGAAATCCTTCTCTCCCACGAGTACCGGACTTGCACGTGTGACCAAGGCAACAAAAACCTTAACCACACTCAACACACTGTGCGCAATCAGATACATACTTGTATCAGATGTTGCAAACCCTCTTTTTTTTTCCCCAAAAAAGCCCTTTAGACTGGCTGTTAAGCCCCACACTGAGTGCCTTTGGGGGATGAATTGCAGTGCTGCGCTGGCACCCGCGTATTTCCCAGCGGAAGCTGGAAGTGCTCAACTGTTTTTTGCCCTCGCTGCTTTTTGAACCGCGCACTAACACGGCTGCTGCTCTGAACTCTTATTTTTATTTTTTTTTCAGGCTTGGGGCAGTCTTTGGGCCCTACACGCAGCCTTCGCAGGCAGAGTACTGGGACATGTGGACGGCGGTGCGGACCAACGATGGCAACCTCGTCGTTGACAGGTACGTTGCTGTTAATTGCTGCACGAGCTTCGTTTTACGTTCGCGGCATCCCTCTGTTTGCAAGCGGAGCCATGCAGTGGCTCCG